TACTAAGTTATTAAGTTCTTCAACTTGAAAAACATAATGATCTTTCAAAACCGTAGATGGACGTCGTGCTCTCTTACTCCCACTTATCTCAGAATTCGAAGCAGGTAAAACAACGTCATGTAATGTGTGTTTGCGCCCACTATTAGATGGTTCGAGAAGAACATGTGGACTGTGTGACAAAGAAGGAAGAGAAGAATCCTGAGATACTTCAGAGAGCAATTCAATTTGTTCAATAGGAGTAACAAGATTAGTGGATTCAAGAAAAATAGCATCTCTACTTTCTATTAATCCACGTTCGGGATGGTAAAAACGATAACCACTCCCATTTTCGACATAACCAATAAACTTGCATTCCCAAGTTTTGCTTCCTAATTTATCCCTTAAAGGTTTGGGAATAAGTACATGTGCCTTACATCCCCAAACTTTGAGAGTTTGAACATTAGGTTTAGTTCCATGCCAGCATTCATAAGGAGTTAGAGGTTTGGCTTTTGTTTCAACTCTATTTAAGATATACGCAGCGGTGGACACGGCTTCCCCCCAAAAATGAATAAGAAGATCAGCATGAGCCATCATAGACCTTGTCATTACCATGAGAGTACGATTTCGTCTTTCTGCAACCCCATTTTGTTGTGGTGTATATGGCATTGTAAACAAATGTTTTATGCCATACTCTTTGCAAAAAGAATCCATAGCTTCATATTCGCCACCTCTATCATTATTCAAGTGTTTAATGGACCGACCAAGTTGTTTTTCTACCTCTAATTTATATTCCTTAAACTTTTCAAGTGCTTCTGATTTGTGTTTAAGAAGGTAGATATGTCCATATCTTGAATAATCATCAGTGAAAGTAATAAAGTATTCCATACTTCGATGAGTTTTAGTTCTTAAAGGCCCACAAATGTCCGAATGAATTATTTCGAGTAAATCCGATTCAATTAAAATGAGATCGAGAAATCGCAACAGGTTTGGAAATTAACACACAACCTCTCATATATATATATATATATACACTGGATGCATCACTACAACAAAAAAGGTCTATGGTGACGAAAACTTATGACGAAAACTATTTCGTCTCCAAATATATATGTTTTAGTGATGAAAATAAGATTTCGTCTCTAATTATACTATTTTTAGAGACGAAAACAAAATTTCGTCACCAAATGCATAAAATAAATAAAATAATAGGTGACGAAATTTTTTTTCATCGCTATCATTCACTCTTACACCTTTCACTAATACACTCCCTTTCTTAATCAATACTGTGTTAAACCTAAAATTAACCTCAAAACCTTTTTGAGTTAACACCGGAACTGAAATCAAATTTCGCCGAATATTAGGTACATAAAGCACATCATGAAGCACAATAGAAGTCCCTTTAATAGAGAATTGACAATTGCCGATACCCAAAACATCACTATAGAAGTTGTTGCCCATGTAGATCCTGTGTTCACCAATCTGCTTATCAGTAAATACTACAAACATGTCCTTGTTTTGCACAATATGTCTAGTTGCAACATAATCAATCCACCATGAATTTGATGAAGGCTCAAGTACCAATGCTTCAGAAATTGTCATGGCAACAGGGTTATTCACCTTTGGTTGATTCTTCTGAGGACAATTGGCTTTGATATGCCCTTTTTGACCGCACTTGTAACATGGGCCAATTTGATACTTGTGATGTTGTTGTTTTTACCATTCTTGTGGTTTCTTCCATCCTTTCTGAAATCCCTTCTTCCATTTTTTCTTGAAAAAAGTCGTCTTTTTCTTGTTGAATGGAGTGTGAGTATTATTCTGTGGTTGTGGTGAAGATTGTGCCATCAACAAGTTAGAAGACAATCCTTCTTTACGTCTGCGCTTCATCCTTTCTTCTTCCAAAACTAAGAGTACAGACAATGTGACCATTGAAATCTCTTGTCCACTATGAGTTAAAGATGTGATAACATGATCCCAAGATAAGGGAAGACTATTAAGTATAGTAGTTACTTGCATCTTGTTCGACAAAGAGTGATCAGCATTGGATAATTCTTTAGCAATTAATTCCATTTGATTAACATGATCACCAACACTATCATTTTCACTCATACGAGTATTATTATATTTGTCCAAGAGCAATTGAATTTGAGTATCCGATTGGACTCCATACTTACTTTCTAGTGCTTCCATTAGTTGTCTTGCAGTTTCATGTTCTTCAAAGAGCGGAATTATGTTATCTTTCATATTATGTAACATAGTTGCCTTTGCCATTGCATCATCTTCTATCCATTTATTTTGGAACCAATTTGAATCATCATCTGGTTTAGAAGTGGATAAAGTATGCAATGTTTTCTCATGTGTAAGAAGATAAGATATGTGACGTTTCCATACTCGGAAATTATTTTCATTTAGCATCTCGATTCTCGAAGAATCCATTGTATTTTTAATAGCCATATTAAAAATAAAATGTGATACTATGAAAATTCAAATGTGAATATGAAAATTCAAATGTGAATATTACAATACTAAACTAAAAATAAAAATAAGCAAAATTAAAAACAACAAAAAAATAAGAAAAAGCCTTGTAGTTGTTGAATCAACTCCTGTGATGAAAATGATGTGAAGGAAGAGAACGATACTGATGCCTTGGGTAAGTACAATGATGAAAACCCAAAGGCCTAGTAAACCCAATACTTTGCTTATAAGTATTGTAATAATAATTACGAGCCCAAGGAACACAATGGTGCCTTTTAAACAATGGTCCTTTGAATGCTTTCCTTGGTAACACCCTTGGATACGCACCTCCGTGAATTTTGTTTTCAGAAAATTTAGTACAACGATCCACAGAAAAATTCTTAGAAGAATTCTGAAAATTTTGGATTTTGAATGACTGTAAATGACTTGAAATGAGCGAGAACGAGCCAAAAAACCAAGTGGACCAAACTGCTGTTGGTCCGGGTATTGTGCTGAACCAGTTTGGACCGGCTGAGACCGAACCGGCGTGAACCGCTGGTCAACGCGCGGGTCAGGCGAGGCAGACGGACGCGGGTCCGGGCGCGGGGCGTTGGTCGCTGGGTCGACGCGCGGATCTGGGCGCGGACCTAGGCTGGCACGCGGGTTGGCTCGCTGGGCTGGCTGGGATGGCACACTGGGCTGGTCCGTGTATTTTGCAGGCTGTGTCTGTGGATTGGGCTCCGCCTGTCTGTGGGTTGCGCCTGAATAAATGGGCTGATCAAAATTCTTTTTAATTTTCAGGCCCAAAGGAATTGATTTCCTTGCTGTGGTCCTGATTTTTGGGCCTTTTCTTTTAATTGTTGAATTCAACCCAACCAAATTTAAATGCAAAACAGAATCTTCTTCTTCTTTTTCTGGGCACTGTAGATCGTCTTCTCCGGTGGGGGTAGGAGTCCAAACACTGTAAGTTGAATTTTGTGGATCAATTTTTTTCCGTTTTTCACAACGAATTACACCGTTGTGATCAAAATTCTGTGAAGAACAAGAGAGAGCAAATTTGGAGACCCAATTGGAACCGAAAAATATTTTGTAAAATTTCTTCCAACGGTGCAATTCGGCTTCACTTTCGGCAAGGTTCGGAACAACAGCGCCACCAACAGTTATTTTCTTCGGATAATTTTCTGGGAATACGACACGTTGGTGATAATTATATAAACAAACAGAATTCACCAATGCCGAAGATTGTTGATCAATTATTTTCTGAATTTTCGGTAAAAAGATTTCAGAAACTTGTCTTTCTTCCGGACTAAAATTCGACATCTGCGATAATGGGTAACCTGGCTCTGATACCACTGAAAAATGTTCTATCAATGGCAATCAATCGGAATACCCGTGAGGGTGTTTATCACACAAGAATGTTGAATATCCGGAAGATAGAAAATAGTTAACTTTGTAGTTCTTTTTCTATCTCTTATTCACAACCTGTTGTCACTATTTATATATCAATAGGAGACTCTTGGCAATAGGTATAATCTAAGAACAGTTGCCATGTTTCACAGAGTTGTGTCTGTTGATAATTTGAATTCAAATTATCAACCAACTAACGGATTCTTACGGGAAGGTTTATAACACTGCTAGGGAGAAGAATTCTAATGAAGTGAGTCACACCAATTTTATGGTGTGGTCATTCTTTATTCCATCAATTTCTGCTTCTCAATTACTTTATCTCTCACACACATCTATTTAACTACAACAAAATATCAAATCATCTCAAACTCCCAAACACCAAAACTATTTTATACAACCAAACAAACCAAAAAATTTCTAAACTCTCTCCCCAATTTTTTTAAAAAAATTTATCCCAAAACACAAACCAAATACACCCTTTGTTTCTCTTCCTCTCTAAGAATATGGACCGGTTCAACCCTAAAAATAGTAAACAACGCACTTTATATTAAATAGAGCCGTGAAAATTGCTCAAGCACTCATTTCGCTGCTCGAGCAGTGTGACAAAAAGCGGTACTCACATACAGGCCAACTGCTCTAGCAGTAAAACAAGTTTCTCAAAAGTTCAGAATGCATGCAGAAATACTATATGAACCACTTCACCGTACTTGGTTAGCGAAATGGCAAACAAAGAGTGCTCAAAAACAAGATATGGAATGTCATCACAAATTTCTCTACTCAGGCACAATTCAGGTTAAATTTACATCTAAAACACTCATAACTCATAGATACAATAGAGTGAAAACTGAATGGAATTTTGTCTAACGGAATTGTCAATTACAAAAACCTAACAGAGTACATTAACTACAGGAAAAACATATATTTTTTATACAAAGAATACTTGGCCAATCATTTGGTCTCAATCAATGTTACGTGTGCACAGATAGAAAACATATCAGTGGTACATCAACTTCTCACATATCGGTAGAATCCACATTCTATGGGAGCCACCGGCCAGTACATTTTTGGTGTGGTTTTTTCAATACACACGAACTTTTCTTTTGCTCTCAATGATGTTCCAAGGTTAAATTAGTAAATCAACAATAGACATTTGCTCAAGGATCTCATCAAATCCATATTTATCACAACCATCCATTCATCAACAAGGGAATAAAAGGTTTTGATACATAGGTAATTTATATCCACAAAGCTTCATAACAACAGTCATAGCAACCCATAATTATTCAAACAAACACATAAAAATAATACACATAGGCGCACACATACACACACTCATAATTAGCTTATTATTATTGTCCAATAATGTTTTTGTAGTAGTAGACTCAAGCTGGTGGTGGCTTGGCAAGAACAGCTGGGAAATCAAGCAGCACAATCTTGTCAATGACTGTTGAAAATGTAGCAGAAAATTCCACATGTTTGGGATGGCCAAGGAAAGCAGTGAAGTCTTCCTTGGTCTTGAATGTCATCAAGAATGCGTGTGTGAAGCCTTGTGTAAGCATCTCCTGGCTTTCTATGTCCTGTCCCCTGTTCATTAACAAAGCCCTAGTCACTTACAATCAATTGGCTCAACTACTTCATTGCTATATCACCATAAATTGATGTTTGGAGTTACAGTAAAGACGTGTGCACCGACAGATTCATTTCTGGTATGGGAAAGCCTATATTTTGAATAAATTTCAACCATACATTAAATATTAAATTTTTTGAGTATATTTCTTCTTTGTCCGTGGTCATGGATTAGGGAGCTCTATCTAAGCAATTTTTGTTCCTATGTGAATCTCAGAACACAAAAATTTTGAAAATGATTGTACAAGAGTATGTTGAATTTAAGGTTCATGTTGAACTTTTTCTAGTCCTAATAAATATAAAAATTCTAAAATGCTAAAAACATTATAAAAAAAATAAAAATAAAACACTAAAGACAGTCCTTAAAATTTTAATTTATGGACTTGATTTGGTATGGACTACATGTAAAATAAATTGTTTCATCATGGCATTTTGAATGTTGCACTCGAATCATCGTCACCTATTTCCTTGAATTGTTTCTTCCTATATACTTTTATGGGGTTGTCCACATCAACAAAAGTGATTTTATGAACCAATAAGATTAAAAAGAGAAACAAAGGTTCGTATAAGAAGACATATGATCTGGATTCTCTTTTGAGGCATGAGATCTTTTGAACCTAAATCTTTTTATCCCATCGTTTCAAATCATTTATAATTATTGAATCATTGAAAATTTCAAACTGTAATATTCTCAAGATATAAGGCTTGTTTGGTGCAACATATTTTAGATTAAAAGTTGATAATCATAAAACAGCAGTTCTCATTTTCAACTTTTGAATAATCAACTAAAAGTAAAAGTTACCCTAAACAATCTTATACAAACTTTTAAAATAAAATAAATTATAAATAGATCAAATAAGTTGCACCAAATAATCACATAATTGATGTGAATGCTTTCAAGATTGAATGGAGAGTAATTAAGTTTAAATTAAAGAAGAAGAGGTAGAGGGTGGAGTGAGAGACATAAAATTAGAATTACCACTCAAAGGACTTGACAGCATCAATCTCAGAAACAAGTTTCTCCATCCCTTTCACAATCTCATCCACGAACACTTCTTCCTTGAACTTAACCACCACCAAGTGCTTGAACTCTGCCATCACGCTCAAATCCCCAAAACTCCCTCCAAAGAGAAAGCAAACCTAGCAATAGCAAAATAGCAAATGAAAACGGGTTACTAAATCTATGAATATATACACACACGCACACATTATTTGCCTGTCAAGTTCTCCAGAGTGTCTTCAAGTGTCACACTCTTAAATCTGTACCATGAACTCAGTCTCTTCTTTACTAGACAATATCTCCCCCCCAATATACTTATAAAAAAAGAAAAAAAAAGAAAAGGTATGGAGCCCAACCAAACTCAGACCCACTACTCAGCGTCTTCACCGCTCACCCATTGTCGCGAACTGTGCTTGCCTTTCACACGAATGAGGTCCCTTGGTACTATTCTTCTTGGAATTTGAGCCCTCATTTTACATTATACGATTTGGGATACGACTGATGTATGAGTATTAGAGGTGTTTTGAAAAGATAGGTAAAAATTAATTTTTTGATTTTTATTGAAAAAATGTGAGAGTTAATGTGACTCAAAATGACATTTAACCCACTTCTCAAAAGATGCCTTAATCATGCAATCACATTTCTTTAGGCCGCATTTAGTTGGAGGAATTGGTGTGAGGGGAAAAAAAAAATCAATCTCATTTTTTATTTGGTTATAATGGAAAACATCAGAAAAAAAGTTGTCTTTTACACTGTGTTTGGTTCAGGGATTTGAGAATGAATTTGGAAAGAGAAAAGAAAAATGCAGGTGAAATATGAATACAATATGTCTATATTTCACTTAATTTTACACACATTTTCCCTTTCCATTTCTAAATTCCTTCTCAAATCCCCTAACCAAACACAAGCTTAGGTTCGCTTAGCTCATTTCTTTCTCTATTTTCTAACCCAACCAAAATAAATTGGAATTCAAATCCTATCAATTCTTTCTTATTTTCTTTCTATTTTTCTTTCTCTTTCCATTTCTTTCATCAAAATCTCTTACCAAACACAGCCTTAAAGGTAGGGATGGCAATTTGAACCCGACCCAACGAGTACCCGCCCTCTCAACCCTAATTAGAACGGTTTTTTCCCGAAAAATACCCCCGATGGGCTGAGGATGATATTCGAAAATGAATCATAAATTGGAATTCAAATCCTATCAATTCTTTCTTATTTTCTTTCTATTTTTCTTTCTCTTTCCATTTCTTTCATCAAAATCTCTTACCAAACACAGCCTTAAAGGTAGGGATGGCAATTTGAACCCGACCCAACGAGTACCCGCCCTGTCGACCCCAATTAGAACGGTTTTTTCTCGAAAAATACCCCCGATGGGCTGAGGATGATATTCGAAAATGAATCCCCAACAAATTTTAAGCCGGGGACAGTGATACGTATCACAACCCCAACCCTGACCTGTCCCCAGCCCCGTCTCCCCGATGTGAACTATTATACCCCTCTATATATATATATATAAAAACCAAATCCTAAAACACAGCTACACTTACACAGCCTCACACTCACACACAAGCAGACTGCGATGATGATAAATGTTAATCTGAGCTTCATACCTTTTTTTTTTCTTCTTATTATCTTATTTTATTTTTGATTTTTAGTTTATTACTATAACTTTTGTGATTAGAAAAACAAGGGTTTGATCTTTTTTATGTTCCCTGTGATGTTTGTAAGTCTGATGACCATGCTAATTTTGATCAATCTGTGAAAGGGTCGGGGATTTTTCGGGGTCGGGGAAACCCGATCCCTGCTAAGGGGTGGGGGTGGGGGCGAGGTGATGGGTTCCTCGCCGGGAATCGGTGGCGGGACGGGAATTTTTTTACCTTTAGGGATTGGGGACGATGAATGTAATACCTAGCCCCATCTTGGCCTGCTGTCATTCCTACTTAGAGGTGACTCAATCATTAACTCTTTAAGTTGTGTTTGATTGGAAGATTTGATGAGGGAAATGAAAAGGGAAATAGATATGAAAATGGAAAGAAAAGGAAAAAGAATTGATAGGATTGAAATTCCAAACTATGTTTGGTTGAGTTGGAAAATGAAGAAGAAAAAGAATTTAAGTGAACTTAAAAAACAAAATGTGAGATTGTATTTCTTTCTTACTTTCTTTTTGCATGTGTTTTCCATTATAATTAAATAAAAAGTGAGATTGCATATCCTTTTTCATTTTTCATTTTTCTCATCAAATCTTCCAACCAAACACAGTTTTAGGTGAGCTCGCCCAAAAAGTTTAAAATCTTTTTATTGTTGAATGTTTTAACTTTATGAAAACTTAATTAGATAAGGTTCTATTTTAATATTTAGCAAACCTCACCTTGAGTCTATATATCAACGGATATTGAACAATATCTAAAACTTGATTTGAGCACCACATTTCAAAAACAAGAACGAATCTGGTATGTGATTGAAGCATGAAATTGATGTTGAATTGGTTTGGGACTTGAAACGGGATGAATTGTTCACCTTGGGCCATAGCTAGTTGTTTAGAATGCTTGAAAGAGCTTGATGAACGTGTGTAGGTCTTTTACTCGCTCTTAATTGGTTGGTGATACACGCGTGCTTGAGGATGTAGTATCATCGTTGCATTCAAATTTTATTCCTATTATAGTCATATACTTCATATTAAAGGTGATTCAACTATTAAGTCACTTAACCTATTACTTAAGACTCACCTAACAAATATTAAAAAATTCTTGTTATTAATTATTTGAAGGTCTAATTTGACCATTTAGGCTATGGTCTAAAAAAAAATTTGGGCTGCTACTGTCTTAGATTGGGTTGGAAGTGTGTTATATGAGTGGCTACAAGTAATTAATCAATTTGATTCTCATTAAAATGTGCTTTTATTACAATCAAATTGATTTTTTTCACAAAACAAAAACTGACATATTGAACCCGTAAGGGTAGTTTAATGGGTTGAGGGTAAGGGATCGGGGACTAAGGAGTAAGCTCCTCTCTAGGTCTCAGGTTTGAATTCTACCCGCAACTGACTACTGGCGGGCCACTGTGTTTTTGCCTGATGGATCAGCTCAGGGTCTCGAGGTTAGTCGAGATGCGACATTTTGAAAGGGGCGCTAACCTGGATATTCGGTTATAAATAAATAAAAAATAATAAAAATATAAAAACAAATTGACATATTGACCCACATAAAAAAAATACTAACATTACTATCATTCTGATTTGAGCCCGACATTTCAAAGGCTTACTATCATTGCATGACTGACCCTTTTTAATTTTCTATGTGTGGAATGAAATGGATTGAACTTTTCCTTCTGTCAGTGGCTTTTATTTCTTTCTTTGAATTTTTCAGTGTATTAGTGCTTGTTGCAGGACTTTTCTCCGTGTCCTTACCCATGTGCTGTTGAGGTACATTATTGAAGGTTGGTGCATGGATGGGATATCACTTATCTTTAAGGAATCTTATTAGTTGTTGAAGCTTTTCTTTCAAAGGATTTGCGTAGGAAATTTGTAGGGAGCAATAAAAGGATTTTTTCGTATAAACAATTATTGGATAATTTTTACTATATTATGAGTAAATTATATTTGTATACTTAGGTCTCGTTTGACAAGTGAATTTTTTAATTAAAAAATTAAAAAGTTACTAAAATAATCAAAAAGCCAACAGCGTATACCAAAAAATCAAAGATTCATTTTTCTCTCTACTTTTTGCACATCTTTTCGTAAAAAGTCAAAAAGTCATCCCAAACATACTAATTTTTTTTTACATCATATTTTAACCAAAAAGTCAAAAAATTACTAAAAAAACATGTTCCCAAACGAGGCCAATAACAAACAGAAGAAATAAAGAAAAAAGAGAAAGATTGTTTGATTATAAAAATCAAACCAGAATATAAAATAAATAAATAAAAACAGATTTTTATTTTGTTACAAAAAATAAAATCAAAATCTGAAAAAAAAAATAAAACAGAAAGTAAATTAATTACTAACCTTATGTATTTATTGGACAAAATTCTAATCAAGTCCGGTGTTTAATACTGTGTCCTTAAGACAGATTCGTCATCTCCACGGTACTTTCAAATTATGGACGTCTATCTCTCAGGATAAAATGATCAACTACGAATAATTGCAGCACTACAAATTATTCGTACAACAAGCACACTTTGTATGTACACTCGTTCTCATAGGAAAATTAAATGCAGCAAAATCCAGAAAGCAAAATCAAATTTTTGGACGAAAATTTAGTATGAAAATCAATTAAGGAACTGCCTATTTATAGATTAAAAAGTGGTTGTTCAGTTTGAATTAAACAGGTGCAAATCCTGTTTGAACAGTTAAAATACCTATTTGAACAGATAAGAAATTGTTTGGTTTGAATCTGTTTGGGTTTTGAATTTTGAAAAAATTCGGATCTGTTTGGACAGATATGGAGCCTGTATAGAAATTCAGAAGAGGTGCACAAATTGAATTTTCCAACTGAAATTTAAATTCAAACGATCAGAATTTATTTCCCAAAAATAAAAAATAAATTCAAATCAGTGTGTTTGGTTTGAGTTTTCTGGATTAAGTTTTTTGAAAGCTGAGTTTTTTGGTTTTTGTATTCTTTTGTTTTTAGTGAATATTTTTTAAATTTTAAATATTTTTTTTACTTTTTTAGATGCACCTTAGTTAGATATATCTAAAAAGTAAAAAAATTGTGAAAAAATATTTAAAAAAATTAATAAAGACATAAAAATATTTTTAAAAAAAATGTACTGAGTTCTTGTATTTTTTGTATTTTTGGTATTTAGTGAATTTTTAAAAGATTTTTTTTACAATTTTTTTACTTTTTAGCTGTATTTATGTTAGGTATGTCTAAAAAGTAAAAAAAAAAATTGCTTAAAATATTTAAAAAATTCAGTAAAAACAAAAAAACACGGAAAACAAAAAAGTAGAATTTTCTGAAAAGTGTTTTCTGAAAAATGAAAACAAGCAAGCTCAATATTTTTGGCCCAAAAAGAATTAGTATTGGGCCGAACAAGCCCAACCCAACCTCACACCATGCACTCGCACCCAAGCCCAGGCCCAACCCAGCCCAACCCAGCCCGCTCGACCGATGGGACAGACGACGGCGCGCGCGTGTGTTTATTTTTGGATCCAATGCGTCTAGCCCAATTTGTCCATAATCTCTCCCTTCTACAAACTTGGAGCGCCCTTGGAGCCTTCCCCAAGTTACAAATCCATACTTTATAAACCCACAAAAATTTGTCTACCAAACCAATATGGGGCAAGCCTTAAACCAAACCTTAAGAAATTTCTACCAAAAACTCAATTTCCATGGAGCTCACTTTAGCTTCAATTTCCTATTCACCCGATAATGGTTTTGAGCAACTAAATATACTACGTGAATCACAGCGCGGCATAGAATGCGTTACCACTTA